CAATTATTAGGCCCTACCTTCTCAATTCTTCTTCCCTGGTATGTGGCGGTCGTTGGAATGCGTAGGAGCCCATCTGGGCCTTCATCTCTATGCTTTCTTTGAGTATCTGATGGTTCTCGTTGGGTCGCGCCGGGTTCTCTTTGCCGTCTGGAGGTCGCTGCTGTTTGCTCTTGTCCAACGGGCTGGGGGTCGTCTTGGCCCTGTCCCCGTCACCGTGGGACTTGCTCTTCTCTTCCAGTGGTGTTCCCGGCGGCGCACCAGATTCCACGTTGTAGGGAAAATTTTGAACATAATTGTACGGGTAAAAATGCTGCGGTAGAACTTTCTGTGGACCGCTTTCTGGTTTGTTGTCCTGTAATTGAAAACGTTTCTGGTTTCAATGATTTTATAAATTACTTTAGCTACAAAACAATCCAATAGATGGTATTTAGCAAAAACTAAATAAAAATACATGTCCTATTTTCTTACACAAGAGTGATAAATTATGTTAAAAGTCGACATTTTACCTCTGAAATAACACGTCGCAATCAGGTTTATTTAAGACAAACGTAAAATGTTAGATTTCTAGATAAATTTTATTGATAAGAATTTTAAATGATCATAACATTTATAATACTTAAATCAGTTTTTAAGCTAATATCTTGCGATAATTTAAAAACAGCTTTATATTTTATTATCAACTAGCTGTTCACATGCGGCTTCATCCGCAGGCATTTATAAAAACTTCATTTTATCGTTTACATTTATCAAATTATCAATTGCAAATGTTTAAATGACATGACATGATGACAATCCATGGCAATCTTGTTTCCTTGATGTTGACAGCAACTTATGGTCTCTTTCCCACATTAGGATTTTATCCAATTTATTTACCAACTAAGTATATAGCATGAAAATATAAAGCCTAAAGCGTGAAGTAAGTGTAGGGCTTTTTATTAAAAAAAGAATTATTTAAAAATATGCTGTAATTGCTGACATCTTAGGCAACAAAGAAGTGTGTGTTTACGCTTTATTATGATAGTATAGATATAGATTATTTACTAAAATAGTAGTATAAGTGAGATTACCTTGAGATCAGCCTTAGGGTCGCCTTTACTGAGGTCTTCCTTGCCCTTATCTTGTGCGGGCGGGGGCGCGGCGGGCGGGTGCGTGGGCTGCAAGTACTGCGGCTGCCCGTAGTACTGTCAATTGTAAAATATTGCTGAACATTATCGCTCCATTTAGCTTAATGGCGAGCCAACTTGATAATTAACTGGCTCTTGCTACCAGATAGTAATGATGTTAATTTTAAGTGCTATTAAGGCCCGACCGCACCGAAGTTATCTATTGCGAAATAAACTTTTAATGGTTTAAGTTTAAATTGCTCGAATTACTTAGAGTTTATTTCTTTAATTATGGAGAAGAGTAATTGCGCTATAAAATAGAGCTTTAAGTATATTCATTTCTAGTAATTGTATACTGTAGATTAGTTTGTGCTAAGTCGTCACTTTTCATTGATGCATCACCTAGGTATACAATGTCATATTGATTTCTTTGTTTTTAGCAGTGGAATCGATGGTTTAATTTTAGTGCAAATTGTAATCAATGTTGATACTAGCAGGTTTGATTATAAGTGTACAAACCTGATGGTAAACGGGGAAGGGTCGATGGCTAGGCTCGGCGTCAGGCGCGCCCTCCGGCGGCGCGGCGTCGTCCGAGATGTCGGAGTACGCGGGTGAGCGCACACCGGGCGTGGGCGAGCGCCGTGCTCTCCGCTTGCCCGGCGACTCCTCCGCTGGGGACTCTGTTGATTTACGCTCCTCCGATGGCATCAATGCTGAACGAGGTTTCACCTAAAAATAATATACTCTTTCATTTTATGAGAACCTAGTAATTTTCATTTGAAAAAAAAAAAGTCAATCTCATATCGCTCACTTTTGTTCATATTTTAAGTGCCACCGTACCTTGAATTGCGTGGGCTGTATAGACTGTAGCGGAGGTAGGGTTTCAGGCGGGGGCGTCGAGGGCGCCGGTGGTGTTGGTGGGCGCTCGGGTTGCGGAGTAGGCTCAGGTGTGGGCGCGAACTCTTCTGGGAACCTGGGTTGTGGGGACACCTCAACCGGTTCTGATTTCTCCGGCGATTTCTCGGGGGACTTATCGCTCTTCACGTCGGGAGATTTCGCAGGCGTGGGAGATTTTACAGGAGTGGCGGGGGTTGCAGGCTCCGATGGGGGACAAACCGGGGATGCCGGTTCTCCCGTTGGCTCCTCCAGCTCGGAGCTGGAGCCGTCCTTGTCTTCGTCATCCGGCGAACCGTGTGCGTGCGATCGGTGATACTTTAGACCGTTCGCGTGTTTGTACTTCTTTGAGCAGTTGGGCTCCGGACATTCTAGCAGGACGGGGTCAGGCGGGGGAGAGGTAGGTGTGGGCGGGGGTCGCTTGGCTTTAGGCGTGGGCGGCCGTTCTTCAGCTTCGGAGTTGCGCTTCCTCTTGGAGTCTGGCCGCGGCGGCGTGAACGGTGTGGGCGAGGGCAACGCGCGCCGTCCTTTGGCACCGCCGTTACGCAGCTTGCTATGCACGGACGAACGTGTCTCCGTGAAGTTGGTCATGTCGGTAGGCGCTGCGCCTCGGCCGCGTTTCGCTCGACCTTTCGGCGTCCTCGAGTCCAACTCCTCCGTCGGGGAGTCACAAAACCTTTAAAGAAAAATTAGTTTGAAATTAAAAAAAAGTCAATTTCACAAAACAGATAACAAATGAAAGTCACTAACCGCGGCGGCGCCCAGTCATGTCGGGTGCAATCCAGTAATGTGCCCACATAGGTCTTCCCCCGCCAGGTTACATTCACTACTAAGACACCTGAAACAACACAAAGGGATCGTTATGCGCGTCCACACGTAGACGTGGCTTTATATGGATATAAATAGCGCGGGGACGGGATAAGTTTTTGTAAGAGTTGCGGCTCGAGGCGAACACGGAATGCAGCGCGGTTTATTGGTGTCGGCGAGAGCGGTTCCGATCCAATTTGTCACGGGAGCACTCATTTGCATAGAGAGGGGCGGCGCGGAGCGGCCGGGGGCGCTCGGGGGCTGGGAGGGAATAGGAGGGGGCGAGGCACGAACGTGACTTTAGCCGCATATTTAGAAACACCCGCGCTACACCAAAGCACCCCTGCTTATCGCGCTAGCGTGGTAACTTATGCAAATTTAATTAATCAATTTTACCCCACTATGTTGGAGCGTGATGCTCCTTCATAACCATAAAATTGTATCAACATATTTTGCTTATCGTAAAAACGTTAATACAATAACTGTAAAGTTTGATGTTATGAATACAGAATTGGGATTATGCTAGTTTAAAATTAATAGTCTCTAATATAAAAAGGGAATGGATTAAAAATGATCATTTTTTATTAAAGCGATTTTTATATTTAACTGTATTTGGATGATAATAATATTCGTAAACCGATCTAAATTTAAAAAAAAAGATGAAATAATTATTAAAAAAAAGACAAATAACAACTAAACATACCACTACTTATTTTTTTGATAAAATTCTATTCTACAACAGATTTTCATGAACGTTTTCATTAAAAGCATGTGCTTCATATACCATATCTTACAAAATAAATCATAGTAATCTATAAAAGTTATTAAATAATATGGTTAGTGAAAACGGACATGGTATACGACTATATACGTATAAAGCCGTCGTGTCTCGTGAAATAATAAATGTAAGTGCAGCGGAGGCAACGGCAGACGGCCGGGGCCGCGCCGCGTGCTATATCTCAATAACTCCCCCATTATTTATTGTTTCACGAAACAATGAACACATAAAGCATTTCTCTATAAGCTATTAACATAAAATGAACGACCGCTTCAAAGATTCATTGCAGATAAAAATCAATGTCACAGATTATTATCTAGAAACTTCTATATAATTGTATGTAAAGAAGTTTAAAATGATAATTAATTTATTGTTCCGAGAAGTCGTAATGCCCTAAGGTGATTATAGTTTGTTTATTTGTAAACTAGATGGCGTTGAAGGTCTCATTTAGAACGTAATTTTAGTAATAGTTGCAAAACATAAACGAATTACTGCTACACTCTTTGATTAAATAAATACAATAAGAACAAGAAGAAATCAACACTGAGAGACTGTTAAGTTAATATTAACCATCTCTGAATGTAATACTTGAAAAATCAGGCAACATTTTTCAATTTTAAAAAATCATTTTTCATTTCTAGTATTACAGTTCAATGCCCTTTTATGTCTATAAAAGAGCTTTAATATTGAAGTGATTAGTTTATCGGCAATTAGGTAAGGGAATAACAAGGCAATAGGTTCATTTGGGCGGCGCTAATTACACCCCGGGCAATCACAGGACTAATGGCTGACATTCCCCTAGCCCGCCAAATCGCCACCCTTACAATTTCCCCGCTTCTGTGTTTACAATGGCTCAAAAACATCTTAACCACAGAAATAAACTGTTAAATACAGTATAAAGTTTTAATTTTTTCTTTCACTTATGCTCGGTTTCTGAAAGACTTGTCAAATAGTTAAACACATAATTGTATAACTCGTTATTATATCGAAACTTTTACAAACACATATTGTTATAAAAGATTGATATAACTTTTTTTATTCGAATAATTCGGCATTAGAAAATAACAAATCATAATGTCTGGTTTTTAATTTGTTAGACTATTTAATAATATTGCTAGAATACGGACATATAATAACAAATCCTATCGCAGAAGTCTGTTAGTCTGCAATTGATTCTTGTCAAAATACCTTTGTAGAGTACAATAAATAAAAACATAAAGGGAATACGTGAGCCACCGGCAGTCCGACAGTCCGACATTCCGGCAAGCTTTGTTAGATCTAATCAGCGCTGGGCTTTGTTTCTCACCAGAGCAAACAACGTCCGGGGGATTTCATTTACATCCCAACATCGCTCCGTCTGACCAAAGTTTACACTCTTAAAAGCCCAACACAAAATGGACGTTAATTAGCGTGTGAATAATTCACTAACGGACACGAAACGGACTTCGTTTACCGACACCAAAACATGTACATCTGTCCTTTAAAGCGAATTCATTGGTCTTAGTTGTTATAATAGACTAGCTGTTCCCGTGCGACTTCATCTACACAAAATTATTTTTTATTTTATAGTTTAGATGTGTCAAATTATCAATTGCAAATGTCAAAATGACATGATATGATGACCAACTATGGCAACCTTGCTTCCTTGATATTGGCAACAACTTAAGGTCTCTTTCCTACATTAGGGTTTTTAAACAAAATATTTACCCCATAATAAGTTTAATGGCGTATAAATATATAGCCTTAAACGTGACGTAAGCGTAGGGCTTTTTATTAAAAAAAGGATTATTCAAAAATATGCTGTAATTGCTGACATCTTAGGCAACAAAGAAGTGTGTGTTTACGCTTTATTACAATAGTATAGAGTATTGATAGATATAGATGGTAAAGTAGAGATTTAGTATGCAAATTCTACACTAAGTGACTGCTTTAATGGGCAATTAACTGAATGTACCAGTAAGTTTGGTGGTTAATATCTGAAATAACTATGTGCACAAGTAAATAATCGGTTTCTCGCACGTGCCAAGTGCGTGGTTTTAAAAACGTCTAGATTCGTCTATCCCTGATCATTAACTGTTTGCTAGCGGCGTTTATAGCTTCATTGGAGAGGTCTGGCTGTAAGTGCCCTTAGCTTTAGTGTCTCTTGTACGATCTGACTTGAGTTATTAGCACGTTTGGTAAAATTATTCGGCATTCTTTTTTTTTCTTCATCATTTTTTTTTACATTTATTTTCTATCGTTCTTTAATTATTTTATTAATGTTATTAGTCAGTAACTATGTATATTACAAACGTATGAAATTAAAACGTATGTAAAACAAATAAACGTCGCCAATTAGCACATTGGCATAAGACAGTGTATTGACTAATTTTTACACATACTTTCGACATGTTCCGAGAATTCTTAAAATGCTTTACAGATGCTTTTTATAAAAACTGTTTAATTATCCAAAATTGTAAAAAGAGCATTGTTATAATTGAACTGTTGAAATATTCGTAAATAAATAGTAAATTTAAGCTATGTTACGAAACCAAACCCATCTACTTTTCTCGTCGAAAATTAATTCACATTTTAAAGCACACTTTATACAAAATAAAGTTTATTTTCGACTTTAAATTACTCAACATCACTCCTTGTTAATACCTAAAAGTTTTATTTCGAGCTAACAGTTGACGCATTTACGGCTGGCTTAATTTGTGGGCAAACAGAGCACGCTTTAAAAATAAGACGTAAATAAATTGTGAAGGGCGTGATGCGGCCGGATTTTGTAGAAACAGAAGCCAGATGTTGATTTATTATCGTTTTATAATAATTACATGTTGCGTAAAGGGGGCGCTGTGCGTGCCCTCCGACTAGCAAACAAAGCGTTCAAATTTACCACAGATAATCACTTTTATTTCAAATAAAATTGATTTTATCCTATGCTGCATTTTTTAACGAGTGTTACAAATATTAATTGCAAACAACCGTTGTTAATTACATAGATAAAATAAACATAGTTGTTTATGATGTGAGACGTTTTAATTAAAATATGCATAAAGTAAGAAGTTGGCATTATTCGACACCTTCTACTGTTTATATGCCCATTAAAACGTAACGAAGGGCCATACATATTTTATGAGATCGTCGACAAGAAGCGTCGACTTATAAGGTTATGATAAAACTCAAATGATAAAACTGGCAGGTGAGAATAATTTAAAAATTAAAACTAAAGCGATTATTTTATCATTTAATTCTGACCACTATGTTTTCATACGGAGTTACATTAAAGGTTAGCTCTCTCCTTTTCTCGCATGTAGCGTGGTTAGTGAGGGTTATTAATATTCCGCGATGTTATCTACCAGTAATAAGCAAGCTTTAATTATATGGAGACTCTCGTTGACTCCGCTGTTTTATGTGCGCCATGAATATATTAATATAAATCGTACCTCACGGATTGTAAGCTGTAAATATCATGAACGAGAGAGGGAGAAAGAAGATGGTTATGACCGCCATGAAACGCGAACGACGACAAAAAAGGTTTGGAACGCGTTCCGTTATCGCTTTAAGCCAGGTGTTGTAAATTAAATTATTATTGCCCCTTTTATAATAGTCGTTGGCGTAATTGTAGTTATTACGAAAGTCTTTTTTTAAGGTCATGAAGACCATTTATAAAAAGGTAAGGTTGTTTCTTAAGTTATAAATATTTTTCTTATAACCGTTTTTCTTTAATTTTAAATTAATCGTTATGGAAGTTATTTTAATTGTCGCCCATTCATTTACTTATGATACCTATATAATTTAAGTCACTCAGTTGATTTAAGTACCCGTCGGTGAAATTGAAATATAAAATTAACATTTTCATCCATGAAGTGGCTTTTACCAATTCGGACAGTGGTCGGTTAACCCGGGTATATTTACTGCGCTTAACTTAAACTGTTATTTAGAAGCATTAAATAACCATTAACTCTGAGTCTCTTTTAGAAGACTGAGTACAACAGTTAGCAATAAACTTAAACATAATTATGAATGATTTCCACCTTATTAGTAAATGGATTTATTAAATAAGTTCATCAAATATGTACTTGTTATTAATATCTTCTATTTGCTATCATTTAATTAATTTTAATAATGTTTGTATGAAATGAGGAAAAAAAAACGAAATGTATGGATCGCGAAGCCGATACAATGTACTAGGCGTGCATAAGCGTGCTGTGAGTATGAGGCGAGAGCGCTACGGTGCGTTGCGTTCGTGCGCTAGTAACAACTCACCACCTTCCGTTTCGTGCCACACGATGCCCTCCAACGTGACCGAGGTACCAGGCTCGCAGGGGCCGAGGCAGTCGGGCTCCGTGATCGTACCGACTGACGTGCCCACACATACTTCAGCAGTTTCCTGTGAATAATAAAAATAATCAATATCACTTAACGAGACTGTTAATGTAAACAAAACACTTACAATCCATATTGAAATGATAAATAACAAGAACTCTGATATTACAATGTATAGATAATGTATTAATTTATAATCAACCACGATTACCCTTTTTTATCTTCATACGTTTTACGTATTATGGTAAATAAAAAACCTTCTTTATGCTTTTTTTTGTTACAATTCATACGATTCGTGAGAGGAAAACATAAAAGCTATCGCGTGCAATAACGATTCCGCCTAAGTTGTAGCGGAATCATTAAATAACTTGAAGTTGTTGCTTGTTAAATACACATGACATGCCCTAAATCCCAAGTTTAAGAAAGCCACGGGATCTAATTTCATGCCGACGACAGATAAAATAAAGTCTATTTTAAATTCTATGAAATAATGTTGTTATTAACAATATTAGTTACTTTTTAGTTAGTTTAGTTAAGTTTTTATTAAACTAATTCTTTTTTTAAATGGAAAATTATTTCTATAATAATATTCGAGAATTATTTAGAAAAGAATTCTCGAAAACCGTTAGCAGTCTCGGTACTCATTGGGATTTCATAAATGCAAAGAACGTTTACGACTCGGAACATAATCAAATGAAGCCATTTACATTCAGACGGCGATACGTGAGAGGGATGCGATGATATCGTTCCGTCTCGTTCTCGCGCACTGCTAACAGTCTCGCAAATTATGGACAAGCAATTCACTGAATCCGTAGATATGTCTGCCAAAGCATTATACTATCGGAAAAATAACAAAATTTTATGTGAATTCACTCTCTTACAAAGTAAAAAACCCGGAAAAGAATGTAGTTAATGGTAGATTTTTCGATTCGATAGGTACCGATTGTGTTTTTAGTAAATCGGAATGAAATACAATATAATCTTTTGGTCACACAATCCCACTGTCATAACAAAAATATTATTCAGTAATTTTCATAGCAAAGTATTTCGACATGCGATTGTCTCGTAACTTAAAAAAATTCCGACTGCTTTTTAATTGGATGACATTTTTAACCATTCAGATTAATTAATTAAGCCGAGTTAATTACGTCAACATATCAACATATACTTGAAGTACAAGTTTAATTAAAATGTACATTTCTTAATAAGCCTTTCAAAACTACAAAGATATGTAAATTATGTAAGTACTTTATTTGGGTTTGGATAGAAAAAAATAAATACAAGTCTATACTAACCATATTGGTAATAGGATGCATTTAGCAAATTAAACATCACATACACTCGAGAATATTTTACTCTTATGTTAATGTATTAACAAGACAAAGTCGAGTCAATACTTTAAAGCGATAAAGAATCGATGACATCAACACCCACACGCGTACTTTATAAATAACATTAAATGCTTTATTGTTACACTGATGACAAATGCGCAAGCCCACGCCCACGCGTGCGCTACGGACAATGCGGAATTATACGTTGGGTAGAGAGTATTAATATTTTGACACGCCATGTCGCTATTAGATCCCTTATCGCGCGGGAATTACACGCAGAGGCCAGTATGTAATACGAGGGGTCTAGTAACTTATGCGCGCCTGGTCGAACACATTGGAAACGCTAGGGGAGGCCAACAGCTGTCGATACTTTTTTTTAATAAATAAAAGCTATCGAGACCGTGTTATACGGTCGTGATCAGAAGTGGAGCTAACACGGGATTATTCATCTTGTTTATCTTATACGAATCAAATTAAATATTATTTTTTGGAACTAAAATGCTCTTTTTACCGGCGTTAGTTGCAACTATTTATGAAAAGATTCAATTTAAATTAAATAGAAATTGACGGCAAAATTCAAAAGCATGCAAATCACACCGGCACGAAGAAATGAGTACGTGAAGGAATGTAACTTTGTTATGTTATGAGCACCCTGAGTTTATGTCGCTAAAGGTTCAAAGGCATTTCAAAAGCGAAGCGTCTATATTTGACAACATCAACGTGTGCCGCAAAAGGAAAGCGCATTGATGACTGACAGCCGGACGCCCACATGCCTAATGATTATGAAACAATGTCTCCTCTACACGACTCGTCGCTGTCGTGACTCACACGCGATTTGTCTCTATTCACTCTGACAAGAAGCAATTTGGTCCGCGGCCCGTTATAAATCGCAGCTCAATATCTCGGGACATTTGGCAACGTACCCGCCGCACGGGTAACAATTTCCGACAGTGTAACCGAATTACAATCAACAATAAAACGAACGGCCATACATCATTTTGATAATTTCGAGTAAATGAAACGTTACTTACGTTTATGGTAGCCTGGTTACAAGCTGTTTGGTGTCGCATGTCGTGGTACACGGGTTTATTATTTATAAACCAAACAAGAACCGACTCAATTCACTTGTTTATGGAAATTAGTTATTCAATTTGCTTGTAAAGCAACTTAGAAAGTAAATGAACAGACAAAAACACTGTGTTAACTAGTAAACAATTAAAAAGCTAATTACTCTAAATTAAAATTCAATTCGGTAAAAGAAAAGAAACCGTTTATCTGAACCGTACTTCTTATAAAGTGAAATAAAACTACTAAAAAATCTCTTAGAATGTAAGCGCTATAAAATTCAAAGGAAAAATGTTACGAATATTACCTCAGCTCCACCGCATTCTGTATTCAGAAAATTTAAATACATTTGAATAATGAACTACGGCTTCCTGTTATTTCCTAACAATGTTTCAATATATTAAAATGGGTGTGAAGATCGTATCGGAAGTAATTATCATTTACATACGCTATAAGGTAAGTATGGACAATCGTCCGTGACGAATAAAAAGGAATAACAGTCTAATTATGTAATTTTTTCTGCATACTTTAAAAAAAAACATAAAAAAATAAGGTCAGTAAGGTAATCATTAAGTTTTTAAATAAAATATTATTTGTCAATTAAAGTTGCTTTTAAGAAAATGTTTTTAAGTTTGAAAATAATTGGTTGATAATTAATTTAACATTAATTTAATTAACCGCATTCATGAATAATAAATACGTAAGCAAGGTTTTTAATATCTGCGATTAAATATAATGCCCGATGAAAAATAATCAACTTAAAAATATTTTTATACGACTGTCATTATCGGTCATACTTATTACTTAACTACAGTTTTATTTTATCACTTACTTACAAAGTAACTTCTTGTTTTTGTAACGAATTGGTCAAACAGCTAAGTTAGTTACCTAAATAGCAGTTATAATGTAATAATAACGCTAAAACGGCGCAATCCTACCAGGGCAACAGAGCCGGGGCGGGAGGGACCCTACTCAACCCTCTCCCAAACTAATTAACTTTGTACAATTCGATTTGGTCGCTCGTAACCGTTTAATATTCGCTTATTCCCAACTTCTTATCGCAGACAAATATTACCAATGGACCGTAATAAAAACGTCAAGGGATAAATAAATATTCGAGTATCTACGTCTTATTTTGTACGGAACATTAATGTTTTAAAATAACAAATGAGGTAAAAACATTAAATAAAGTTACGATATAAATTATAAGTCCTTAAAGTACAACAAAATTTATTACTTTTTATTTTTGAACGTATTCGTGGATACTTTGCCAAACACGTGTTTTATAAAAACCTAGACAATGATATCCCTATCAGTGCCTAATAATTTCGACAAAATAATTTTCGTAGCTGACAATTGAACACATGATTACGTGTTCACTTATAAAATAACTAATTAAATAAGTAATTGTAAAAACTGGAATGAGTATTTAACAACGTTTAAAAACATTTATTTAATGAACGTAAAGAAAACGAAATAAAACAAGGATAAAAGCCATTTACGGCAACAGACCCTCGTTCCGAACTCAAATATTAATTAAAAATAAAATCCCATTCCGGGAACAGCGAGATGTAATTAAAAGAGAAATAAATGTAACGACCGTAAACATTCAATTGTAATTGGGGCCGAATGATGATGTTTAAAATAATAATTTATGTCGCATTAAAGTTTTTGGAGTCAGAGTTGAGGACCTCTGGCCCAACGGCGTTGCCTTTTCAAATCCCTTAATTGCCTTTTTAATTACAGACCGTATACGGTTGACATTTTGACTCTCATGTAAATAGCACTGAGCGGTATGACGTGTAATTGAGAATTCTAAAGATGATTTAACTTTTAAATACTGGCAACTAAAAGTACAGTTTTTGTTTTAATTTTTACATCACATTTTACTTTACAACACAAACACTATGTGGTCATTAAATAATTCTATATAAACCTATGATATCCTAGTATAAAACACCACATTATCAATCCTAAAGCTCAAAATTAAAAGAAAAAGCATTTTATACTCAACAAAATAATAGTTTTTTGCAAGCTAAAAAAATAAATAAATCAGTGGTTAACTATAATTTTTATATACGATATGGAAAAATAAGCATAGCAAATGTCCTTATTATCTTAGAAAGTGGTTATTTCGAAACGAAGTTAACATCGCATTAATATGAATAAAAATGCATAATGTAAGTTAAAACCACCGCATAACATAACCGTTAAGTAAAAAGAAAGTGCGGCAAGCCATATAGTTCAGCAAACGCTTTAAATTCCTTTCCTATGCAAATACTTGGCCGGCTTCTTTACGCGAGCAAATATTGAAAATTCTCGAGCGAAAATTCCTAGCAAAATATTTTTTAATATACACGACTCTGTTGAATGTAGCTCTTCAAAAGGGGAAGTTTCAATCTAAAGACGAACGAAAAACGAACATTTATATTGTATGAATGCAGCAACTCTTTCTATGAGAATAACTATTACTTTTTTAAAGTTTACAATATTTTTATTAAGATAACTGAGATAGTCTCTTAAAAGCACAATAATGTTCTTTACCGTTAGATTAAACGGTTTCCTACCGTATATTTAACCATTCGTTAGTGTTTTTGTTTCGACAACTTCATGAAATGCGTTTCCAACTACGTAACTCGAGTTTTTCTATGATGAAACTTATGTTAAA